AGGTTAGGCAGTGCCCCGATGGTGTCAGCTACGGATCACTCAAGAACATCGTCTGCCTTCCTCTAGCCTACCTTGACTTCTTCCTCTGTTTTATTTCTTTCGTATTTATTTCCCAGTGTTGAAATGCTGCTGCCCTGCAACTCTATTTTCAACTTATTTTACTGAGTATATCTTGTGCCCTGTGTAGCTGGTAAGTTCTCTTGAGGGCGGGAACGCGGTTTCCAAGTGCTCAGATAACAGGACACAAATTCCAAACACAGATGTGTTCATGGGTTTCCTCTGTCCCTTGAGGCCACTGCAGAATATTCTAAAATCGCCAACACTGCCTTTCTCTTCCCAAAGGAGAGTCTTCAGCGAATGAGCAGCTAGGTCTATAGCATAATAATGGAATGAGGGGCTGGGGGGAGAGGAAAGCGGCTCAGGGCTCAGAGTGGAGTTTGGGAAGGACTTTCAGCGTGCACAGCTCTGATGCGGCATCTGGGCACACAGGGAAAGGAGGACAAGGAGGGTCTTTCCAGGCATGCTGTTAGGGATGGTAGGTCCAAGTCCTTTGTGGTTTTAAAGAAAAGTAAGTAAAGTATCGGAGTTATTCTGAAATTACTTTTGATTGGTATACTGTGTACTTGGATTGCAATGGATTTTTGAGACTGAACTACGTAGATTCTGGGCTTAGATAAGGACTCAACTGTATCTTCCAGAAGGCAAAACTGCACATGCCATAGGTAACCAGTAAATGCTTATTGAATGAATTAGTGGATGTTTATGAACGTTTAGAGCTGGAATATGCCTTAGAGACTCTAGTCTAGGTATGTGACGCTCAAACGCCTCTGTAAAATTTCCAGATAAGATGCAAGATGCCCAGTGAAATTTGAATTTCAGACTAAAAAAGAGTACTTGTTAGAGTATAAGTATGTCCTAAATACGACATGGGACAAGCTTACACTAAATCTGCTAAATCTGGCAGCCTAGGTTTAGGAAATGTGCCGGTCGTGGAACTTAATCGAGTGCAACAAGCCATCAGAGGATCGGGAGAGCCAGGGAGTGGGGATGTTTCAGGATTGGGGGGCACAGGTCCTGAGTGCATTTCTTTAAAAAAAAAAAAAACACAACAAAATCATCCTCTGGGCAAAACAAAATGCACCTTTTAAGCTAATGTCCTTATTTTAAGTAAGGAATCTGAAAGGCAGAGGAGAGGAGAAGCAAGGAGCCTGCAGACCCCAGGCAGTCAAGGCAGAGACGAGGCTGGACCCAGGTTCCTCCCCGGCAGGCCGCTGTCCCCTGCCCCACATCACAGGGCAGGGTGTGCGCGTGTCTAATGTGTGGCTTTTGATGCGCGCCCGCCTTCAGAGGGCAGGTGATGGGCGAGTATTCAGGGTAAGAGCAATTTCGTGGATCACCAGGTGTAGCCAGTGCACATTCTCCCCGAAGACCCTGAGTAGACCCCCTTGGTCTCCTCTTGCATCCAGCAGACACTATGGCTTTTCTCCCAGTGCAGCCAGCTGGTATTATTTTTCTTCATTTTTGCCATTTGAGGTGCTCTTGATGAAGGTACAACAGTTGGGATATTAGGTAACATATTCCATATCTTGGGCAAGTTATCCTGCCTTTCGAGTCTCATTTCCCTCATCTGAAAAATGGGAGGATGTCAGGTCTCTCTGATCTCTAATGAGGGGGACCGGTGCGCCCCACTTTGCCTGGGAGTGTCCTGGTTTATGCCCGTTGTCCAGTGTAGTCATCAACTGCGCTCCCTTTGTACCCTCCAAGCCATCCTAGTTTGCATGAAAAATGAATGGTACACTCCTTCCAGGCAGTGGTGTGCTGGAGTCGCCCAGCATGGGCTCTCCAGACCTGATGACTATGTGTTCCCAGTGAGGTCCCACAGGCAGCTTGAAATCAGCCACAGACAGAGTAGTTACACCACGGCCATGAGCAAGCACTGCTTCCGCCCAGAGAACTGGCTGTTAACACTAGTCAGCACACCACTGACTCTGCTCTCATGGTCGACAACCACGTTACATACATGTCTGGACAAACTGCCAGGTAGTCAGTGAGTGAGCATTTGACTCCAGAATCCATTTTATTTTTGTTTTTAGTTTTTGGCTGCGTTGTGTCTTCATTGCTGCACGCAGGCTCTCTCTAGTTGCGGTGAGCAGGGGCTACTCTTCCTTGCGTCGCGCAGGCTTCTCATTGCGGTGGCTTCTTGTGTTGTGGAGTATGAGCTCTAGGCGCGTGGGCTTCAGCAGTTGTGGCACGTGGGCTCAGCAGTTGTGGCTCCCGGGCTTTAGAGTGCAGGCTCAGTAGTTGTGGTGCACCGGCTTAGCTGCTCCACGGCACGTGGGATCTTCCCGGACCAGGGCTCGAACCCGTGTCCCCTGCATTGGCAGGCGGATTCTTAACCACTGTGCCACCATGGAAGTCCCCAGAATCCATTTTTAAAAAGATATTTTGGTCCATCCATGTTGTTGCAAATGGCAAGATTTCATCGTTTTTACGGCTGAGTAATATTCCATTGTACAAATGTACCACATCTTCTTTATCCATTCCTCTGTCGATGGACGCTTAGGTTGCTTCTGTATCTCAGGTATTGTGCATAATGCTGGGAGGGCAAAACGGGTGGTGGGGGTCAACAGTATGAGACGGAAGGAAACTAGAGTTCTGGTGGCGAGCATGCTGAGTGTGGACAGAAGTACAAATGGAATCCTGCACACATGAAACTTATATAATGTTATAAACCAATAAAAATTTTAAATAATGAAGAAAGCTACTTTGGTGACGATTGAGTTGACATAATCAGTGTTCTAGTTCTTCTGTAACTGACGCATGAATATGTCCACTTAAGCCAATGTCTGTCCTGGTCCTCAGTGGTTATAATGCTGTGAAAGCAAAGTTCCCTGGCTTTGAGTGAGTTTTTCTGTTTCATCCGTCAGTTTGGTTGGATGGACCTGGTTACTGTGGGACACAGTGTCTCAGCAAAGCTGAAAGCCCCAGATGCTCTCGAGGAAAGAGCAGCCTGCAGTTGGCTATTCCGGGTCGCCCCCTGCTTGGGTGACCATTTCACCTGATGCTCTTCTGAAAAAGCGCATTTAAAATGCAGCCCTTGTCACATGTGGAGAGGCTGCAGGTGAGGCTAGCTTTGCTCCTGGGCTTCCTTCCCCGTGTCTAGGCCGACAGACTAGGAACTTTACCCTTGAGATGGGGAGTCTTTTCCCCACCCCACCCTTGGGAAGGGGTGCTGATATCTCCCCACCCTCCAAGAAGGCACGCCTGAAATATGCTGTGTGTGCCCTGAGCAGAGCCACTCACAGAGCCACTCCTCCGACCTCTGAGCTCCTTACGTCATCGGCAGGGAGCCCAAGACCCAGGGGTCATGGATGCTAAAGGCAACACAGAGGGTGAGCGCCAAGGCTTCAACTCCCAAGAAGGGTGAGATTCAAGCAGCCTAGAACATCAGAACGGTGAAGGCCCTTAGGGGTGATAAAGTTACCCCAACTCATTTTACAGGTGGGGAAACCAAGGCTGAGAGTGGGCGGGGCCTCCAGGGAGGCGTCTGGACCTGGTTCCCCAGGAGACCTGACGCCGACGAGACACAGACACTTAGAGCACTGCACCTCTTGGGTCCCAGTTTGCTCATGTACAAAATGGGGAGATGAAGTGTCTACAGCTGAGGGGTTTTGAGACTGAAATGAGATAAAGCCTGCAGGGCGCGCACAGAATGCGATGGTTATGCAGCATGGTACTGGACCCACGCGGTTTGATAATCAGAAGTTTGCTGTTATTGTTAGTTGTTGTTGGGGTTTTGTTTTGTTTTGTTTTGTTTGCAGTGGCTGTAATTCACTGCTTCTCAGAATCTGTGATCCCCCTTCTTTCCTTCCTTCCTGCGAGGAACCTGAACCTCCTAGTCATGTGATTTGTTCAGGCCCCAGGTGGTTTGGAAAAATCACATACTTCAACCTGCTTTGACACCGTTATGGATTCAAGAATGGGGCTGCAACATAAACCCATCCAATCAGAGAAAATCTCGGGACTTGGGTTGGGTGAGGTGGGGAAGACACCCCGTCTCCTCTCCTGTAGGTGAAGAAGGAAGCGTGGAATCTGGTGCAGTTGGCAGCCACCTGACCACCTCGAGGGAAGTCATTGTGTAGGTGGAGCTGCCCTAGAGAAAGAGAAGCACAAGTCTGGTGGCACTGTCAACTGCTGGAACAAACCGAGCCTGAAGCTCGCCTGACCTCTGGATTCTCCACTTACATGGGTCCATAAATTCAAATTACCGCTTAAACTAGTCTGGATATGTGCTACTTGCACCCTAACCCATTGAAATGCTTCTCTGCAGTGAGGCAGTGCCAGAGCCTTCCAGCTAAATGAGACAGTGTACAGTGAGATAGAGACAGTGTACAGTGAGATAGAGACAGTGAAAAGCATCTCCTACAGCACTTAACACATAAAGGCGCTCCACTGAAAATTCTTAGCTCTCCCTTCCTTCCATCCCTATTGTATTCAAAGCAATTTCAACTACACCGTCTAAAGTTAGATTTCCAGACTGCTCACAGAAAAAAGCTCTTTGGCCTGGACTGTTTGGGGCTTTTTCAAGTAATTGCATGCCTTGGCAAATCTTAAGACGATGCCTTTATTCCTCCCTTGAGACAGAGTATGTGACACACAGACCCGCTTGGAATGCAGTGAAGCACCAGAACACCAGCTACAGGGTTGAATTTGAATCTGGGAACTGGTTATGTTCAGTTAGGATTTTAAGAGCTGCTCTCCCCCCATTCCGCTTGCTGCTCGGGACCCAGAAGCAAAGACAGGGGTCCAGCTGAACGTCACTCCTTAGGCCAGCGGGCGGCTCTCCCCTCCAAAGTGCAGCTCAGGGACCCAGGCCTCTCCCGCACTGCAGCTCTCACCTCCTGCAGCAGGGGTTCATGACCTGCACCCTTGGACCACGGGGAACCCAGGAGGGCCACAAACTAGGATGGGAAAAACATTCTACCGCTATTTGCACTAACCTCTCGCTGAATCATATATGTTGCTTCCGACATGAATGCGGGCAGCAAATGATGGCAGCGTAGCAGCACCAAGGAAACTTCTCCCCTGCAGAAATCAGATATTTTCATATCACATTTCCATTGTTGAGGATACCTTGAAACTGTCTATCCTCGTTCGAAATTACAGTCGACATCTTGTTATTGAATGTATTTGTCAAGAAATGCATACATTACTATATCACAGATGTTTACGTTATTGCAGTGCTCTTCTGTGACCCTAATATGCTGGTTCTTATTACTATTATTATGTAATCATTATGTCCCCACATGTCAAATGTCCCTGTCATTCTCCCCAGGGAGACTGTGAACTCCTTGATGAAAAGGGCCGTGTCTGACCCATTTTTATTTCCTGTGTTGAGCACACGGTTGAGAATCCAGTAGGAACCTAGCAAATATTGGGCCAAGTGAATAATGAGGATGTACAGTTACTTCATGACACTCTTGTCATAAGCAAGGTGAGAGGCCTTCTCAAGGGACATGCTGGGACATGCACTTAAACGTGGACCACATCCAAAACCCTGCTTCCAAGTGAGGTTTGCCTGCTCGGTCACACTCGTTGAAAATCAGTCCCACAGAGGTTGGGATTGACATGTATGCACTAATATGTATAAAATGGATAACTAATAAGAACCTGCTGTATAAAAAAATAAATAAAATAAAATTCAAAAAACAAAAAGAAAGGAAATCAGTCCCCCCCCACATACACGTGCACACATGTACACGCACACACATGTACACACATACACACAGCAGCCAGAAGCTGCCCCCGGCCTCCAAGGAGAATATTTATGATTTTTAATAAATTGGGACCACGGCTCATTAAGCTCCTCACCCGCGCCCCCGAGGCCCCTGCAGGGCCCTGACGGTTGACTTTTCATATCTGAGCGCAGTGAGGCCGCGCATGCCACACCGATGAACTCACAGGGGACCCGGCTCTGTCCCTGCCGCCCAGAGAGCGCTCCTCTTTCAAATCAGATTAAAAGAAAACAAGAGTGTGGCCCATCCCCAGTGCGAGGAGCACGGAATTGTGTACTTCACTGAAGGAGGAATGTGGCCCATTAATTACTATTTGTCGTCAATTAATTGCTATTTGAAATATGGCCCCAGCTGTGAGCAGCAGGGGAGTGACAGTCGTGTGCTTACGAGCCGGTGTAATTCATCCTGGGGGCGGGCAGGGAGGCCCACGGAGGTTTGGGGCATTTTTGCCGGGAGGGGAAAGATCCAGCAGCACGTTTCCTGAACTCATGAGTAACAATGATAAGTGAGGGGCTTGGGCCATCGGGGGCCCAGGCCAATGTATCCCATGCAGTTTAGAGGTGGGTCTTGGAGCCGGCACGGTTTTCTGGGGCAGTAACTGAACATTCCTGGCCACTGACGCCAAGGGCGGGCTTGACGTGGGGGGAGGTGTGGGGCAGCAAACTCCTTCCCTGCGGTGGGTTAAGGGACCTCATGGTCAAGAGACATTCACGGGCCAGCTGCTCATGCAGGGGAGGAAGGAGCGGGGTGGCAGGGGGGTGGAGGGCGTGATTTCACTCCCGTGGTTCCCCACCCCGACCCCGATCACCAGCCCAGGGGCCTGGGCAGTGACTTAGGTTAGTCAGTGAACTCAGGGCCACCTGGTCCCAAAGCTTGGCCGTGGGGCTGAGTGTCCAGCAGTGCAGTTATTTCAAGTGTTAAGACAAGAGCGTCCCTCTTTGGGGGGATTTTTGAGTGAAGGATAACAGACATAGGGTAAAAGGGCGCAAAGCTTAAGCTCTATAAACTTTGCAAAGCGGACGCGCCTGCGTAACCATGACCCGGCTTGAGAGCCAGACGCCCGCCAGCCCTCAAGGCTGTCCTGTGTCCCCACCCAGGTCGTTCCCCCCGCAGAGGAGCCCCCTGTTCTGGTCGCTCTCGCAGGAGAGGTTCTGGCTGTTTCTGAGCCTTTGACCGGGCTGCGACCGTTCCTCTCACTTAGCATAAGGGCTGTGACGCCCGTCCGGCCCACAGCATGCAGCCCCGACTTTCTCACTGTGAAACGGCAGCACTTCTCAAAGCCTTTGGTCTCAGCACACTTTCACTTTCTTTATGTCTATGAATGTATACTGAAATTTAACAAAATGGAGAAATTTAGAAACATATTTATTAGCTTATTTGGAAAAGTAATAAACACACTACGTGTTATTATAAATAACATGTTTTAATAAAAATGACTACATTTTCAAAACATGCAGTGAGTGGAGTGCCCTTGTTTTGCCTTTTTACAAATCTCTCTGTGTCTCACTCAACAGAGGAGAGCTGGGCTCTCACATCTGCCCCTTCATCCTGTCTGCTGCGATGTCACGTCACGCAGGAGTTCTTCTGGAATTCTCCCCAGATGCTCTTGCGATGGGAGAATGAAAGCAAACGGATCTTGGTGATGTTATGAAAATGCTCTCTCAGATCCCCTGAAAGAGTCTCGGGGACTCCCAGGGTCCCTGCACCCCACTCTGAGACCCTCTGCTGGACGCTATTCCAGTGTGCGAATACGTCACAACGTATTTTCCATCCTCGTGTTGATGGACATTCGCGCTGCTTTCAGCGTGGGGCCATTCTGAGTGAAGTTGCCATGGACATTTCTGCGCGTGTCTTTCGGCACACCCCCCACCCACACATACACACGCAGTTTTGTTGAGCACATACCTAGGAGCGGGATTGTTGCGTCCTAGGGTGGCTCAGATTAGGTTCAGCAGCTCTTCCCAAACTGTTTTCCAAACTGGTTGTTCCAGGTGGTACCCACCCCCCTGACCCCGGGCAGCATATGAGGGTGCCAGCTCATTTTTCTCCTCTTCTATTAAAAGTAAGTGATCTTATCACAGCATGGTGATAGTCAATGTAGGGGAAGAAAACCTGCGAACCACGTATATTTTTAAAACCTTCCGTTTGGAAATAATTTTAGGTTTTCAGAGTTGCAAGATTAGTAAAGAGAGTTTCTGAATACAGTCCACCCACTAAAGGTAACTTCACACCTGACCCGTGGACCTTGATCAAGATGGAGAAACCAACACAGCTACAGCACTAAGACACGACCTCACTGGGATCTCTGTTTCCCACGAAGGCCCTCTTCATGCTCCAGGATCCCATCCAGGGCACCACGTCACATCTAGTTGTCACATCTCCTTAGGCTTCCCTGTCTGTGACGGTTTCCCAGACCTCCCTTCTTTTTTGTGACCATAATGCTCTGAAGAGTCCTGGTCAGATCTTTTGCAGAATGTCCCTTATATTGGGTTTGTGTACTGTTTGCTCATGATTAGACTTGAGGATATGGATTTGGGGGAAGAATGTCACAGAATGGATGTGTCCTTCTCATCCCACCTATCGGGAGGTGCATGCTGTCTGAATGGCTTATCATGGGTGACGATCACTTGATCACTTTGGGCGATGCCTGCCAGCTTCCTCCACTGAAAGTTCCCTGTTCTCCCCTCCCATGCTCTATTTGGTTAGGAGAGAGTCACCAAGTCCAGCCCATATTTAAGCTGCACGTCTTGGAGGGCAGAGTATCCGAGAATTTGTGGACATACGGCTACAGCCGTAACAGCAATCGATAAACCTTTTAGGGGAGACACTTTGAGGCTCTGCAGCTATCCTGCTTCTCTTAAATTCCCACCTACTAACTTCAGCGTCATCGGTAGATCTTGCCACAGCAACTCTTCCTAACGATGATTTCTGATCTCCCTCATTCCTTGTACATTTATTATGTGGAATTCTTTTGTAGGAAGGATTTGTCCCTTCTCTTCCATTTATTTATTTATTCAATCATCTATTTATATCAGGATGGGCTCATGGACATTTATTTTGTTGTTCGGGTAATAACCCAATACTCTCATTATTTATTTTGTTGTTCAAATGGTTCCGTTTTGGCCACTGGAAGATCTTTTGGATTACTGACTTCTGTGCCCTCTTGACACTGCCCATCTTTCTTTCAAAAACACACACTTTAATTTCTGGCACTACAAGATGCTCCAGACTCATCTTGTATTTTCCCAGCACAGCCTTCAAATCAGATCTTCAAGGAGCTTTGAACCAGGTCCCTTTTCAACCTTCTCTAAAGTTATACTGCTCATTTACACGTGGAGAGTATTGTATACGGTATTCTGATTTCCACAGGGTAAAAATGAAATGTTTTGTGTCATCAGTGGTTGAATGTGTGTTTTATGCTCTATCTTTATGACGTAATCAAGCATCTGTTTTCCTGGTAACTTTCTTTCACAATTATAATGCTTATTGATAAAGCAGGTAAGGATTGCTACATGGGGGGGGGCACCCTGTGGTTGAGGATCTGTAACACTGGAGTCAGCAAGCGGCTGGTGGGGACGTGGGCGGCGGCAGCTGAGTACACAGACACTTCAGGCTTCTCCGTGGCTGGCGTGATGTATGTTGACCAGGTCACTACACCAGCGTTTGGCCATTACTGCATCAGAAAGCAATGCAATCACCCAGGGTGACTGCGCTGGCAGATGGGACTCTCAAGTATAAACCCCCAGGAATTCTACCCATTAAACATTCTTCATACCATCCTCGACATGGGTGACGCACTGAGTGGATAATTACACAATTTAGTGATGATGATTTAGACCCGTGACGCTACTCTAAACACATGTAAAAACATAGCTGGTGTTGAAAATGGTGCTGAGAATTCACGGCACGGCAGGGCCATGGCTCTTTTCTGCGGGAATGGAAGGCTTCCGATTTCACTCCTGACCAGTGGTCACTGAGCTCCTGAAGCCATACTTTTGGGTTCCTCCTGAGCCCCCAAATGTCAATGCTCTTTGACACTTTTCCCTTGAAGTGAGCAGTGTGACCTGGGCATGTGGGCCACCTCTCCATTCGGGTAGGAGGTCGCAATCTGCACACACATCTGCTCTCCGTCCCAGAGAAAGGCGCTGACATCTGAGGGACAGAATGGCATTTCCATGTTGGTTGCTATGGTGTTTTTGGCAGGAAAGGGACTAGAAAGGGTCTCTCTCTGGGGAGGGTATCTATCTTCTGATATAATTAGCCCATGTGAATCTCACCTCCTGTGGTTCC